AAAACTGGACAGCCACATGCCAAAGAATGAAAGTAGACCATTGTCTTACACCATACACAAAAATTAATTCAAAATGGATTAAAGACTTGAATGTAAGACCTGAAACCATCAAACTCCTAGAAGAAAATATAGGCAGTACACTCTTTGACATCAGTCTTAGCAGCATCTTTTTTTTTTTTTTTTTTCGTGAGGAGATCAGCCCTGTGCTAACATCTGCCAGTCCTCCTTTTTTTTTGCTGAGGAAGACCGGCCCTGGGCTAACATGTGTGCCCACCTGCCTGCACTTTATATGGGACGCTGCCACAGCATGGCTTGCCAAGCAGTGCGTCGGTGCATGCCCAGGATGCGAACCAGCGAACCCCAGGCCACCACAGCAGAGCGCACACACTTAATTGCTTTCGCCACTGGGCCAGCCCCCAGTAGCATCTTTTTGAATACCGTGTATACTCGGGCATGGGAGACAAAAGAAAAAATAAACAAATGGGACTACATCAGATTAAAGAGGTTCTGCAAGGCAAAGGAAGCCAGGAACAAGACAATAAGCCTACCAAGTGGAGAAAATTTTGCAAATCATATATCTGACAAGGGGTTAATTTCCAAAATATGTAAAGAACTCATACAACTCAACAACAAAAATAAAAACAACCTGGTCAAAAAATGGGCAGAGGATATGAATAGACATTTTTCCAAAGAAGATATATAGATGGCCAACAGGCACACGAAAAGATGTTCAACATCACTAATGCTTATCAAAACTACAATAAGATATCATCTTACACCTGTTAGAATGGCTATAATTACTAAGAAAAAAATTCGATGTGGAGAAAAGGAAACCCTCATACACTGCTGGCGGGAATGCAAACTGGTACAGCCACTATGGAAAACAGTATGGAGATTTCTCAAAAAATTAAAAATAGAAATACTATATGATCCAGCTATCCTACTACTTGGTATTTATCCAAAGAACTTGAAATCTACAATTCAAAGAGACTTATGCACCCCTATGTGCATTGCAGCACTACTCACAATAGTCAAGATGTGGAAGCAACCCAAGTGTCCATCAACTGGTGAATGGATAAAGAAGATGTGGTATATATATATACTATGGAATACTATTCAGCTGTAAAAAAAAGACAAAATCGTCCTATTTGCAACAACATGTATGGACCTTGAGGATATTAAGTGAAATCAGGCAGAGAAAGACAAACACCGCATGATTTCACTCATATATGGAAGATAAACAAACATTGATAACGAGAAAATATAGTGGTTACCAGAGGGGAGGGAGGTTGGGGGTCAGCAAAAGGGGTAAAGGGGCACATATATATGGTGACAGGTAAAAATTAGACTATTAGTGGTGAGGGCGATGCAGTCTATACCGAAATGGATAAATAATAATATACACCTGAAATTATGCGATGTTATAAAGCATTATGCACTCAATAAAAAAGTTAAAAAAAAAAAGTACTAAATGCTACTGAATTTGTACACTTAAAAAAAAATGAATTTGAATTTAGATAAGAAGTCAGGGCCAGCATTTTATTATCCTCAACAAAATAAGGTGTCAGATGCGAGATAAAGTCAAGGAATTTGAGAATTGAGAAAAGGCCCTGAGTTTTAAAAAAAAGGCTGTTAGGGAAGATGTTCTAGAGCAGGGACTTTTGTTTGTTTTGTTTATGCTGACTCCCCCAGGGCTTAGAATAGTGCCTAACACTCAAAACTCTCAATCAATATTTCTAGGTTGACTGGAGTGGTGGGACTAAAAGGCATTCTGCAGGGATTTAAAACATTTTTTTTTAATTTAAATTTATTATGTAACATTTCAGACTTACAAAAATGTACTCAGTTTTTATATATCTTTCTTCCAAACTATAATATGGATTCTTTGAATGTAGAGACTGTGTCTTATTCCTCTTTGTCGTACCCTTGCCCTTGCTTGTGGAAGGTGGTCAGTGAATATTTGTAAGTTCTTTGGTGAAGAAATGGATGCAATGAAAGGAAAAAGTAGGATATTAGTTGAAGTCAGTAAGTCAGGGCAGGAAATGAAGATTTGTTTCAAGATGAGAGGCCTTTGCTTGTTTGAAGACAAAGGGAAATGAATTCTGACAGAGGCAGGAGGTAGGTATGGGTTACAATATCTCCCAAGATCCGGATTGTCAGCCCTGTGATCTGATTATTTCTGCCTTTAATGGGGTACAGGTTTGGTTACTAAATTTTTTGCTCTGAGATGGTTTGTATAATCATAGTGTATATTCTGGGGAAGCATTCATCTTTCTTTTAGGTGTGATTACCCATTGTTTAGTGAGAAAAGTAACTGCTTATGTTGAAGTCTTCCTTATTATCTGAAAGTATATACATGCTGCCTTCTTTAAGCTAAATGTATTCCTAATAACTCTATGTTTCTCAGTTTAATTCATTCTACTTTCTGGAATCATCATTTTAGACACAAAAGAGACCTGATAGATGTCTAACTTCTTAGTTTTGCTTGTTAGCTATTCAAGACATGGAACCTGGGCAGCAAATTTTTATTTTATTTTTTCCCTATGTACCAGCTCCTTTACATACATTATTTAATTTAATTCTCACACCAGGTCCTTGAGGGAGATAATGTTATTATTTGCATTTTATAGGTGAGGAAATTGAGGTATAGAAAAGTTAAATAACTTGCCAAGGTCACCACGGCAGTAACTTGAGGAGCAGGGGCTCAAACCCAAATGTGTTTTATTACCAAGTTCATGCTTTTAACCGCCAGGCTAAGGCCAAGTAGGTTGCTCAGTTCATTGTTCTCTCCACTGTTCTAAACTGTTGCAAGTACTTGTGGGTTTTTTGCTTTTGTTTGTTTGTTTCTGTTTTGTGAAGAGACGGAGTTGAGGGAAGAGGGGACTGGTGAAAGCATAGCCCTCGCTATGCTTCTTCCCATTCCACTAACGATGTCGTGTGCTTTCTGTCTGTCTGTCTGTCTCTTTTTCATTCTTTCTTGCCTTTCGTCGTTCTTTTTCCATTTATTTTTTTTTTCTTTCTTCTTTTTATCTTTTTATAATGTGAATTTTCAAATATATACAAAGGTAAAGAAAAGTATAATAAACCCCCATATTCAGCTTAAACATGATTAAGTCGAGGCCACTTGTGTTTCATTTATACTCCCATCCATTCCTCCCCCCCATTATGTTGAGGCAAATTTATATTGAAGCAAATCCCAATTGTCATATCATTTGATCCATAAATTTTCAGTTTGTATCTGTAAATGATAAGTACTTGTTCAAAAAAAATAGCCACAATACTATTACCAATTCTTTAAAAATGTAATATTCAAATACCTAGTTATTTTTTAAATTTCTTAATTGTTTCATGTTTTGGTTTTTTTTTTTTAGTTTAAATCAAGATCCAGGTGAAGTATATGCATTGGAATTGGTTATATGTCTTTTAACTATCTTTTGACCTATGGGTTTCTCCTTGAGATTTATTTGATGAATAAATCTGGTTATTTATCCTGTAGAGTTTCTCATAGTCTGAATCATACTGTTTGCATCCCCGTGGTATCATTTAATGTGTTCCTCTTTCCTCCATATTTCTTAGTGATTGATAGGTAGATTTAGAGCTGAGCTGTCCGATAGACAGTGATGAAAATATTCTATATCTGTGTGATCTGTGATCCAATATGGTAGCCACTAGCCACGTGTGCCAAGTGAACACTTGAAATGTGATTAAAAAGATTGAGGAACTGATTTTTAAGTTTTATTTAATTTTAATTGATTTAAGTTTAAATCTAAATAGTTTCACATGGCTAGCAGCTATCTTATGAGACAAATTCAGAGGCTTGATCAGATTCAGGTTAGGTTTGTTTTTGTTTTGTTTGTTTGTTTGGCAAGTCTTGCTCATAAATGGTATTGTGTCTGGATATCTCTTTTGGTGATGTTAGCAGTCATTGTTGATAATTGCCTAAATGCATTAATTCACTAGGGGTTGCAAAATGGTGATATTCTAGCTGTCTTCACTTATTATAGTTGGTAGTTCTGGAGAAAAATGGCTGCTTCAACTAACTGGAGATAAATGCTTTTTCATTATTCTTAGCATTCATGTATTTTATAGTCTTGACTATTTGCAGGTAACCATGAAGCTCTGATATATGTAATGATTTCTAATTTGTAAATTACCAATTAATTTCTAATTTACTGAGACATCAAAGTGTAATTGCATTAATTTTTAAAAAGTCCTATTTGGAAATGAGCCAGTTAGTCTAGTGAGTGAACTTGTTAGCTCCTTGGCATCTTTATTAAAAAATGGCTTTGTCTCTATTTTATGTCATTTTATGGAGAAGTTTATGCCATAAGGCTAGTCACAAATTTGTTCTTCACCAATATCAAGGATATGACATAGTCTGTTTTTGATTGTGGTTAGTTGACTAAAAGCAGTTTGTAGAACAGTTTAGAATAAATTTATCGTTTTTTCTTCATTTTCTGTTTTCTTCTTTTCTTTTTCTCCCCTGTTCTCTAACAGGTTGGGAGCCTGGTTTTCTCTGTTTTTGGTCGTTGGGAAAGGGTCTAGACTTGCTATATTTGGGCTTTCTTGACTATTTGCCAAACTAACGAACCTTTTAAGAAATGTTACCCCTCGGGCCGGCCCTGTGGCTTGGTGGTTAAGTGCGCGCGCTGCGATGCTGGTGGCCCGGGTTCGGATCCCGGGTGCGCATCGAGGCACCACTTCTCCGTCCATCCTGAGGCCGAGTCCCACATACAGCAACTAGAAGGATGTGCAGCTATGATATACAACTATCTACTGGGGCTTTGGGGGGAAAAAATAAAAAAAAAATAAAAAAAAAAATAAAAAAAAAAAAAGAAATGTTACCTCAGCTTAATTTAGATCTTTCCAAAGGCTTTCCATTTATAAAAGGAAGTTGGAAAATATTCTAGACAACTGATAAATCTAGAGGATAATAAATTTTACCTCTTCTTATTTCTTATGAAAAAATGCCACAAAAGCTTTTTTTTTTTGTCAAATAGATATTCTCCTCAAAAAGTGAATCCCGACTAAAACATCTGTTACAGCGAGCCCCAGATTATTGCCCTGAGACAATGGTAGGTCTTGTTTAACTTAACTATGGAAGGTTTTGTCTAAATGAAGCCATCAGATCAGTTACTTTTAGATTTAGCAAATTTTTCAATGTGAATGGAGTTTGTGGTCAAAGTAAAATGTTAGATTTAAGTAGGTACCTTACAAAGATCCTCACACAAATTGCTAGATGGAATATTGTATTTCATCTTTTATTGTTTATTCTCTGATGTAGTATAAAAACAATATTAAATACAAATGTATTCCAGTCTTTAAATTTCATTATGGTAGCTTATCTGGAATTTGGAATTTTACTTATTATTTTATTTTGACAATTTTATGAAAACCATAATAACTAAATCTTATATTTATTTTGATTTTGAAAAGTTCAATTTGGGACAAGGGAAAATGTGTGCTTCTCATTATTCTTATCTTCCCATTTGCTGGTATACTGTAGATATATTGCTTGCCTGTCTGAATCATGTAACGTGAAATGTCTCTTATGCTTGGGCTGTCCTCAGTGTTTGGGATGCTCATGGTCCAGTCTAAGAAAGTCTGAGCTTGCATGAGAGAGCCTCTTTACATATGGCAGCTTGCACTATGAGAGGGGGGAAAAATTGATGATCAAACAGTTCTGACTGACACGTGTTCCTTTAGTCACTCTACAGACACTTTTGTCTTTGCGCTTGGAAACAGTGATTCCAGTAAGCATCCTGAGTAACCAGACTTATCCCTAGTGCTCTTAGATGGGAAGATGGGAAAAGAGCAAGCAATATTTTTGCATCTCAGTTTTATTTTTTTTTCTCTGAATAGCTGATTGATACTCATATAGTCCTAGAACATTGACTGTATAGAGACAAACATAATGAAATTAGCTGTATGTAATTTCTGTAGAATTTAATTGTTGTATTTAGGAACTGGTTACCTACATAAAAGCCTTTTGGTGATTACAATTTTAGGTTGAAATTTGGAGTTGTATGAATTCATCTTTGCCAGGTAAGCAATAGAAGTATAACATATAGCACTTTATTTTTAAAAACTTATTTTGTGATTGTACAATCTGTGTCATAGTCTTATAACTTAAAGAATACCCTTAAGTTTCTTTCCTCTCCTTCCTGTAGACACCCAAATTTTCAAATGTGTAATTTATTCTCCTTCACTCAATTCGTCACTGTACTCTTGTCTCCACTTGTACTCTTCTGTTGAAACTGGTCTTTGAAAGATCACAGGATCTCTTGATTCCTGGATCTTATGACTATTTCTCAGTATTTAATCTGTTTAACTTCCCTGCAACACTTGATATTATTGACCACTACCTACCTCCTTGGCCTCCTGACCTTGTCCTCTCTTACCTTTTTCCTCTCCCCTGCCCCCATAAGGACCATGTTATTTCTATGTGCGTCCTCTTTCCTTCTCTGTCCACTCTCACTCTGGTAATGGCATTCCTTCCCAGAGCTGATAACTAATCAGCTCTGGGAAGATAACTTTCAAATCCAAGTCATTGTTCCTGACTTCTAGATGTCTCCACCTGGATCTCTGCATCCAGGTGGTGTCTGAAGTGCAAATCTAAAACCAAACTCCTCTTATAACTGTCTTTCTTGTGGAAACCCTCAAGTTACCTTGATTGCCTTTTCTTTTTAGCTCCATTGACTCTCCCCTTGTAAAGTCTTGCATATGTCTTCTCTACTCCTAGTTCAAGCCTTTATTATTACACTTGTGGAGTAGAATATTGTAATAACTTTGTAACTGGTATTTCAACACATTGTAGCTGTCCTCCCCACCTCCTTTAAAAAAAATCCCGCAGGGGATAGCCACTTCCATCAGAATAAGGCCCCAGTTCCCTAGCCTAGCATTCATGGTCTCCTAGGATTAAAACTCATTTTCCAGGCCTTGTTACAGCCAGTGCCTTGGAATAAGGGAGTATATCTTATGTATCTCTGAACTCTACAGGCTGTCACACTGTTTGAAGTTTGCATTTCAAACAAATTGGACTATTTGTCTTTTTGGAATGGCTTGTTCTCCTAATTATCCCTCTACCTAGTGTCCTGGAGTTACACGCATGCACGCACGCACATATACATGTTCCCACCAAACTGTAATCTCCATAATGGGATTAATCATGTATTTTATCTATTTCATCACCCACATGATACCTAATAGAGTGCCTTGTACAGAAGAGGGGCTCAGTGAATATTAATGCTTGTTGAACAATTTGATATTTTGTAAGAGGCCACTGGATATGTGGAAACAGCAATATACTGCATTGTGGTATGAAAGTTCACAGAGTTTATGACCTACATTGATTCCGTTCAAATTCTTTCTGAAATGTGAGTGATTCTGAATAGCGAGCAGCAAAGATTTAGAGAAGCTCTTCTAGGCAACGGGGTTAGATGGGAGCCTGTTGCCCTCTGTACCCTTAAAGCATGTTGGGATACAGATGCTTATGATATTTTATTTTAGCCACTTAATAATTGGAGTGGTCTGTAATTATATTTTGCGAGCTTAGCTATCTGTGGGCCATTCGTTTGCTTTTGTTTGTTTGTTTTGTTTTTTTTAACAGAATGCTTCTATTTGTTGTTTTAAGTCCTAGATTCATTTGGAGAACTATGTTACCTATTGCCTGGAATCCCTGACATGTTTTTCAAATGTAAATAATAATCTGATTTAATATAGGTGTGGATTTGCAGATCTGTCTATTACATGGAAGCAGCATAAAGCATTTTCTAAGAGAGATAAGGAAGAATTTGCATAAATCTTTTCTCTTTTCATAATCGTTACTTGTATCTCCTAATTTTATCCTAGGAGTCATTCATTGACATTTATGATTGCAAAAAGGGACCTAAAAAATGCATTAGAACACTTTTTATAATTTTATCACCTTTTGGTATCACAATAATTTGGTTGGAGAAATAGCTGCTGTGCATAAATTGAACCGGCATGATGATTTTGCCCCATAATTAAGCGTACCCATCAAAGTCAGTCCTGGCTCGCGGAGATGTCCCTGTCAGTTTACTAAATATCAGCTTTTAAACAGCATCATAGGTTTTATACTCTTCTAGGTATCTAATGCTTTGAATACAATAATACTTATGCCCTTTTTTGTTTGCTTGCTTGTTAAGTTAATTGGAATCTTTGCCTCTGATTCACAGTCTAGAGGTGAGGAAGGCCTCTCCTTGCTTTCCTTAACCTGCACATCCTCCAGAGATGCTGTCTACCCAAGAGTGAGAATGACCTAAAGAAAGATCAGGGTGGGCAGGGAGAAGAGAGAGAAAACAAAAGACCTGATAATTATGCCGTGGGGGACTTAAGAAGACTGGTAGCGTTGGGAGTAAGCGTGAGAGGAAGGGCTTACAATTTTGAGGTCCTGCTGTCTGAGCTGGTTTTCCTGTGGACACCTGCTTGGATTTTTAGTGGCATCCATGAGCCAGTTTGGCATGCTATTTGTGTTTGTCACTGCTTATGACCCAAACGTTTGAACGTTTTGTTTTTAAGGTGTGTTTAAGAAGTCTGATGGCTGGGTTGGCCTAGGCTGCTGTGAACTGGCTATCACCTTGGAGTGTCGGCAGGCCTGCAAGCAGGTAACACTGGGCAGTCGGGCTCTTAGTCAGCATGGAGTACAGTCTGAGTTTTGGCTGTGCGTGTCTTGGACCTTGCCTACGTTGTTCGTACCTTTGAAGAGGTGACCAATAAAAGCTGCAAATTTAGCATTTCTTGCATAGACCACTTCCTTTTAGACTTGCCGCTTTTTCAGTTATGGCTGCTGCATGTGAGACCCTCAGCCTTCTCTTATTCTTTCTTAACTTCTCTCTGCCACACAAAGAAAGAATATTAAAGGAATCAGGGTCTTTTGTACTTTGCCTGTGATCATGCTTAATCAATGCTGAATGACTCCAGATGCTCATGTAAGTTTAGGGTATGCTTGGATGAGAGCATTTGACACAGTTGGCTTATTTTGCTTTCATCTTCCTTTCTGTCTTTCATCATGGTTTTACCCTGAGCATATTCTTATATGCCTTCTCTGTTCCTAAAGTGAGCATGACTCCTACAGTGAATTATGACTTCTCTGGTGCAGTTCAGGTTAGGCCCCTGAGTTTTTCCTCACTGTGTATATTTTCATGGTGGTTCCTCAGAGTGCTGTGGGAAAGCTGGTCTCCTGGCTCCTCATACTCCTAGTGGTAGAAATAGACTTAACTGGGAAATATAGATGGACCAGAAACCATACTGGAAATCCTTCTTTTATTTTCTTTGTCTAGTGACTGGTCTCTGGACGGGAGCATATGAGACATGGTGTCACCTTCACTTTCATACAGACCACTGGACCGAGTAGCCTGAGCAACACTCTTGGGGCAGCACACAGTCCAGCATCTGCTCTTCTCCTCCAGGCATTGAGCTGTAGCTGAGTTGCAGAGGATTTGAACTATAATGGATCTGGTGGGACATAAAATAGTTGCCAGTCCATTCTGCTTCTCGCTCTCCCCATCCTCATCAGCTGGCCTGTTCAGAATTGCATGAGCCCAGATGATAGAACAGGAGGGAATAGAACAAGGGACCAGAGCCCATGGCTCCGGAACTGTGTCTCTGAATGGAAACTGATATCATCTGGGAGAATAACCAGCCCTCAGCGTGTTTGTTTTGGCTTGTTTATAGAAAGTACACACTTAAATGAGGTAAACAAGTTCTGTTCCTCTGAGCGTCAGTTTCTTCACCTGTAGAAGGGATAATACTTCTTCATAAACTTGTTAAGAGAATTACGTAAAAATAACTTTTGTTAATCACTTGGCATAGCCTTTTCCTCTTTAGTTGTTCCCTCCATTATGTATGGATTTTTTCTGAGGAAATTGGCTCAAAAGTAGGTATGGGAGGGCCGGCCCTGTGGCTTAGCGGTTAAGTGCCCACGCTCCGCTGCTGGCGGCCCGGGGTTCAGATCCCTGGCGCACACCGACGCACCGCTTCTCCGGCCATGCTGAGGCCGCGTCCCACATACAGCAACTAGAAGGATGTGCAACTATGACATACAACTATCTACTGGGGCTTTGGGGGGAAAAAATAAAAATAAATAAAATCTTAAAAAAAAAGTAGGTATGGGAATTTAGAATATGGAGGGTTAAAGAAAAACCAAAATATAAATGCCGTGGCAGAGCTTCACAAGAAAATTTGCTACAGAGTGGAATTCAGCTAAAAGAAAAACATCCTCTGATTTACATTTCCTTCAGAGTCATCTAGTTTCTGAAATAACAAAAGGACTGTGTTATTTTGTGAGATTAAAGCCGTTAAAGTTAGAGTGAAGTTCTAGCAAATCAGGTAGGTTCTGGGGCTGTTTGTTTTAAAGAAATTGCGTGAAATTTGTTTGTTGTAATTTAGGAACTCTTAAATATTTGAGCATAAGGTTTTCCTTGGTGAAATAAAGAATACTGTAGGGCCAGCACCAGTGGCCTAGTGGTTAAGTTCGGCGCACTCCGCTTCAGTGGCCCAGGTTCCATTCCTGGGTGCGGATCTACACCACTCCTCAGTGGCCATGTGGCGGCGACCCACATACAAAATAGAGGAAGACTAGCCATGGATATTAGCTCAGGGCTAATCTTCCTCAGCAAAAAAGAGGAAGATTGGCAAATCTTCCTCAGCAAAAAGAAAAGAATACTATACCAGGAATTAACATATACTTATATTAATTTTTGTTCTTTTTTGTCCTGTACTGAATAGTATGTGTAATAAATTAATGGAGAAATTTGTTGTCTTTTAGGCATCTTCAAAAAATGATATTTCTAAAGTTTGCAGAAAAGAATATGAGGTATGTGTTTTATTTAATAAATTTGGATAGACTCTTCAGATGTTATCAGAATTGATAAAATCACTTAAATTTTTAAAATGAATTCATTCTTACATAAATTGCCTTTTACTTTACAGAAAATATAGCCATGGCAAAAATATCATTTATGTTTTTTAGAAATGCTATGACTTTAATTGACTTGTTGAAATTAAGCATTAATATTAAAGAAATGCCTAAATCACGTATACAAAGGATTTAACCTATAATGTTTTCATAACAAAGGAAGGTTGTACCCAAGGTTGTAAAATAGTTTGTCTTAGGTTCCATATTCTCTTTTGCCTCTTTTCCTATCCCTTGACCCATCCAGGTATCCATCTTTATAAACTACCTCTAATTGAAAGAAACGAGACTTTCCTAGTGTCTTGCATTTGGGGGAACAAGGTACTAAATTACAAAGGCTGTATTAAATCTGAAGGACTCTGGTTTTCCAGTGGTCATATTTCAAGCACTGTGGCTCTAGATGGGGGAGTTACTAGGTCAGGGGTAGAGGAGGGATTTCACATCATGCAAATATGTACAGAGGATTGTCCCTGATGTGAAAAAGCTCCTCAGTGGGGCTCCTTTGTTTAGTTTCTGGAACTCCCTTGTTAAATGTGATGCTATTGTTTTTCATAGTGTAAGACCATGTAATTAAGGACACTTAAGTGCATATGCCTCATTCATCATTTTTATATATAAACATTGGGATTCCTATTGCTTTTAACAGTCTGTATTCTCTTGGAGAAGAAAGCCAGAACAACTCTTAACTGCTTCTAGATTGTGGTTCTGAATTTTTTTCTTTTCTCAAAGCCTATAATTATAGGGTTTGTCTCTCTTGATTAATATTTTTTAATTAGAGAAATCTTATCTTTTATCTCTTTACTATTTGCTAAGTTTTATCTGTTTCTCTGAAGACAAATTTCCAAATTAACTACAACTCTCTTCTGTTCTTATTGGAAGGAGCCTTGCTACAATGAAGTAAAAGATCTTTCTTTTTTTTCTTATCTCTCTACCTTTGAAATAACTAGTTTTAGTTTCTCTTGAACAAAGTGGCTAACTGTGATAATTCCTTCTTTTCTCCCACATGATGTCTGACACTGTCTACCTCCTGTAGCCTGTCCTCCATTATTTTAGTGTGCTTCCTTCTCTTGTCTGGATTTCTGCATTGCCCTAGGAAGTCTGCCAGTATGTGTTGATGAAGGCCGGGACGGGAAAGGTAAGAGAGATAAACACTGTTCTATGAGAGAAATACTAAGAGTAGTTTGCTTTTCCTGGACTATCCTCCCTTGTTTGGCCTAGAATTAAGCAACTGTTTTCCAAAAATCTATACGCCAAGAGGGTTCTTTTACATATATATGTAAAATACATACTTGTAATATACTATATATGTATATTAAAAACTGACTCTAGGGGCTGGCCCGGTAGCTTGGGGGTTAAGTTCCCGTGCTCCGCTTCAGCCGCCTGGGGTTTGCAGGTTCGGACCCCGGGCGCACACTGACGCACCGTTTGTCAAGCCATGCTGTGGCGGCGTCCCATATAAAGTAGAGGAAGATGGGCACGGATATTAGCCCAGGGCCAATCTTCCTCAGCAAAAAGAGGAGGATTGGCATCGGATGTTAGCTCAGGGCTAATCTTCCTCACAAGAAAAAACAAAACAAAACTGACCCTACAAATTATTCAAGATAATTCAAGACTCAGTTTGATTGTTTATATGTTATTTAGAAATAGAAAGAGAGATGAGAACACTTTAATGCAGAAAGAGGGTTCTGCGTTATAAACCCCAAATAATAGTCACTTTTATGATTGTTGAAGTCTAATCTAGAGATAATGGCTATTTGTTATAAAGTGAGTTGGGTAAGTTTGGTGTAGTCTAACCCATTTTAACTAGATTGGTTGTTTATGAACATCAGAATAATTTATAAAACTAGGCTTTTAGTGTCTTTTCCTTAACACTGGAGTGGTCCCTGGAGTGAACTTCTAGACCTTTTCCTTTAGGCTTAGAGTTTTAGGGCTTAGCATTTACACTGAACGATGTTTTTGTGTCATTTGATTAGAGATTCAGAGAGTGAGTAATTATATTTGGAGGAGCTAATGTTTGTCTTTACTGGTAAGCTACGTAAAATCCCTTTTGAGGGGATTCCCTAAGAAATTTACTTACATGAATAAAGTTAAAAAATTTTAATGCCATTTAAGATTCTGTTTTGTTCCAACCAAGCTAGGATAAACCAGTTAAATATAAAACATTGTTATGTCTGATTTTATAGCATCTGGTTTCTTTCTTATGCAAATCAACAAGTATTTTTTGACTACTGAGAGGCCATTTTATATATTAGAAAGAGCACAAACCTTGGATTCAGACCTAGGTTAGAATTCTGGATAAGCCACTTATAACTTAACTTCAAATACTGAAGAATTGTATCTAATTGAGTGAAGATAATTAAAATATATACTGCACACACAAGGGCTCAGGGAAATCAGAAAGCAGAGTAAGCGTGTTGGGAATTATCAGGGAAGACTTCAAAAGAGAGAGGCCTGAAAGGATTGGTATAATTTGGGTAAGAAGACTGTGGATCAAAAGCATGTTAGCAAAAATGCACGTGGCTTGTGCAGGGGACTAAAAGAAGCTAGGCCTATTTTGGCCTCAGAATCTGTGCTTGGATAGGCAAAGTGGGACCAGATCCTGGAAAGGGGATATTTTGAGGCTCAACTCGCTATTAAGTAGAGGGAGATGATGAATCTGTAATAGAAGACCAACATAACAAATAACAAGTCTAATATTTTAGAAAGCTTGAAGTCTTAGTTGTGTGCAGGCTAAGTTTTAGATCCCCTGAAACCCCCCCCCCCCAATTTAACTAAAAGCAGACAGTGCCCAGAACTGGAATGATAGCAATAGAGTCGAGTATTCAGAAATAAATCAGAGATTTGAAGGCAGAATCCACCCACAGGATTTGTTATGATGGATTGATGATAGGAGGTGATGTTCAGGGAAATATAAAAAACAATTATTAGTGAATTGGGAGATAGAACTGAAGAAATTATATGGAAAAGCAGCACAGAGGGACAGGCTGAAAGAGAGTTTAAGGGATGTGGAGGATAGATAAAGTGTTCCAATTGGAATACTAGAAGAAGAAGAAAGAATATGACGCAGAGGCAATGTTTAAAGAAGCCCAACAAATCCCCAGCAGGATTAAAACAAAAAAAATCCATACGTCACAGATATAATTCATAGCCAAAGATCTTGAAAACAGAAAAAAAGACCTTGCCTTCAAAGGAGACCAAAAGCTGATATCTGAATAGCAACAGAGTAAGCCAGAGATAGTGGAATGATACCTAAACTGTTCTGAAAGAAAATAACTAGAATTCCATATCCAGCAAAAATAGTTTTCAAGAAAGAGGGAAAAATGAAGATATTTCCAGACAACAAAAACAGAGAATTGCCATTACTGGACCCCCTCTAAAAGTCCTTCTCTGAAGGAAGTTCTAAAATATCTGCAGTTATTTGAGATGCAAAAGAAAATGAGAACGATGAAAATACAAAGTAACTAAATTAAAACACACCGATTGTATAAAACAATAATGTATTATTGAGTTTAAAAAAGAGAGCCAACACACAGCAACAATAGCATATACATTGGGAAGGGAGTTTAAAGTAATTGAAGTATATTGAGTGTTAGGTCTTTTTAAATGTAAAAATCCGTATCTCAGAGGTAGTTAGGAATACAGGACTAAAGATGAGGAGGATACAATGCCCAAGGTCAACCGTGAAGTAACCCTTGGACGTTGAGAGTGAAAGAGAGCTCTAGGAAAGAGAAAGTATAGAAAAAAGTAGAGAGCTGAGTTTTGAAAATTCCTTCTTTAGGGAACTAGAAGAGAAGGAGCCAGATACTGATCTGACATTTCAGTAGGAAGACCCATTCAGTAGTGAGAATGTTGGGATGAGATATTCCAAGAAAAAGAGCGCTTCCTGTCACTGGAAACGTTCAAGCAAAGGCGTACTGGATTCACATATTGTGGAAGGGATTTCTGCAATGCACAGGAGATTTGACTAATGATTTCCCAACTCTGCAGTTCTCTTATCCTGACCAATACCCAAGAAAGATTACTTCCTTCAGTACTTAAGAGTACTGCTTTCATAATCACACTTGTTTAATTAGAGCTACCAGAATCAACCAGTGGCTTGATGACTCCAATAGGGACATGTTCAAGTATCACAGGCGTGCTCAGTTCTAGGCTCTCTGTGCATTTTCACAGGCTTGGTCCTTGACCCCCCTAGAAGTATTGGTCAGGCCACATGGGTTCGTGGATGTGTGACGCTAGAACCAGGGGTGATATTCAAAATATCCAACAACTGGAATGACATAGGCACCAACGATCAGAACAGGTGCTGGCTAAACCGTCAGTATAGCCATAGTGGTGCACACTGGTTGATTAGAACTAAAGTAAAAACTAATTCGTGTTTTCTGTGAGGTGTGAGACATACAGTGTAATTCTTTTTGCATATAGTCTTTGTCTACAAATTGGTGAAAACATTTTCTTCTAAGCCACCAAAATGGTGATTTAAAAAAAAAAGTTATTTTTTTTCTTAGATTTTTTTTTTCCTTGAATGTTAGAATAAACATCAAGATGATGTGAGGCTGGTGAATTTCCAGAGACTGACAATGGCTGTAAAGTGATGAGACACATTTTAGTTTCCAGTTCATAAATACATTTCCTACCTTTATATCAGGCCTTACCTGCCATTCTCTTAACGTAATGGTCATAAATATAAATCTTTCCATTTGCTGTGTGAGCCACTGAAGAACAGTGCTACGAATTTGTCATCAGGCTTTTACATTTTTACTTGTTTCTTCCTTCTTTCACAGATCCTTCCCTATGCTTTCTTTATACTCTTTTCAGAAATATCATTTCCAGTTCTCTCCTTTCTTTCCTAGCTTTCTTCAGTCCAGTTATTTGATGTTATTTCATTAAGGGAGGTGAGCAAC